TCGAAGAACGCAGCATTTATAACATATAAAAACATGCCAATCAAAAGTTCATCAAATAAAAATATATCCAACGAAAAGGTTTATGAACAAATTATTATTATTATTAAAGACGATCGAAAGTAATAAATGTAAGATGCAAATAAAAACGCATGGGTATTTCATTTATTTATCTTATTTATCTTATAAGTTTAAAACCAATTTTCCAATAGTCTATTGGTGGAAGGGTAAGTTGAAGGTAAGTACATGCATATCTTGCAAAACTTATCATATTTAAAGGACAATCACGTATAACTTACGAAAAGGGCATATTTTCTACAAAAAATTGATTATGATGAAAGTAAATTTGAAATATTTCGAAAACGGTTACATTTAGGAAGTTTGTCGATATGAGCACTATCGTTTGAAATGATTTTTATAATCTTATACTGACATCAAACTGAACATTTTGCCGTAAATAATGAAAGTTTCAAAAATGCCTTAAAAGTTGCTCTTAGAAAAACTTTTTTTATTAAAAGTTTGTCCATCCTGGAGTTGTTTTCAAAACTTCTGCTTTCTATTCAAGTTTTTATTAAAAAAATATAAAAAAAAAATCAAAAATACTTTGTTTTGTTATTTAAATTTTGAGGTTTATTTTTAATTTTTTTTTTTGTAAAACAACGAAAAAAAAAATTCCGTGTATATTTTTTTTTATAAAGCCTTATTAGTTTCCTACAACTCCTTCTTAGTAATTTTTTTCTGCAACCAACTGTTTTCGAACTACATTTTTTTTTAAAGTATGTGTGCTGAAAAACACATAGGCCCTTTTCAAAAATTACCCTTGAGTCAAAAGGGTCTCCTCGCCTACGGAAAATACTTGGTCTGTCATACTGAAAATATGTGCCAAGTATCATCCAGATTGAAGATAGTCAAGTTTGGTGACTGACCGATTTGGCATGGAATTGGTCAGTTGTGATCAGAATATGGACCCTGGGGATCACGGGATAGTTCACCGGAAGATCCGAAACATCCGTAAAGTGGTCAATTAATGAAACTATAGATCAACGGATTTTTCGAAACCTCTCATAGACGACTATTCAGAATGAATTCGGAGTTGTGACTGGAATATGGACCCTGGGGACCACGTTAAGGCCCTCCGGCAGATTCGGAACATCCTTAAAAGTGGTAAATCCATTAAACTGATCCTAGAGCTCCACGTTTTTTTTTTCGAAACCTCTTAAAGACGTCCTATTAGAATGAATTCTGAGTTTCGACCGGAATATTAATCGTGGGAACCCCGGATTGGTTTACCGAAAGATTCGGAACATCCGTAAAAGTGTTCAATGCATAAAACTAATCCATTTTTTTTTCAAAACAGCTTTTTGACGTCTTATCATTATGAATTCAGAGTTGTGTTCGGAAAATTTACCCTAGGGACCACGAAATGGCATTTCAAAGGATCTGGATCATCCGCTGAAACTGATCCTAGAGCTTTTTCGATCTTTCGAAACCCCTCATAGATGTCAAAATGGGAGTTTTGACCGGAAAATGAACCCTTGGTTCCACGAGATGGTCCACCAGGAAGATCCGGAACTTCCTTAAAAGTGTTCAGTGCATGAAACTGAGCCTAGAGCTCCGCATTGGCTACGCATTGGCGTTTAATCAATGCATTTGGAGTCATTGCCAGAAAATTTACCCTGGGGACCAGTGAACGGCCCTCCGAAACATCCGAAGCATCCGTAAAAATTTTCAATTCATGAAACTGATCCTAGAACTCGGTGTTTTTTAATTCGAAAACGTTTATAGACTTATAAATATGAATTCGTAGTTGTGATCGAGAAATAGACCCTTGAGACCATGGATTGCTCCTTTGGAAGATCATAGAAGTCTCATCAGAATAAATTCGGAGTTGTGACTGGAAAATGGGTCCATGGGATGGTGTTCTGGAATATCCAGAATGTCCGTTAAAATTGTTAATTGATCGAACTGATCTCAGCACTGTGTGGTTTTCTCATTGGCATGATTTTTCTATATATTTTCATTGATGATTTTTTGGCATTTAAGCATTTTAGTAGCTTCTAGGCAATTTTAATTGATTTTTTGTAGATTATTCCTTGGATTTCTTAGACTTCTTTCTCTTGACTTCTTGTAGATTTTTCTTTGGAGTTACAAGTTAACGAGATACTATTTTTTATGTTGCTATAGTTGTCATACGTTTTATTTATCACATCAAAATTTTATTTAAAAAACCATTTTAAAACATAAAAAAAACATAAAACTATATTGTAGCTTGATAAATCGACCACTTTTGCGGATGTTTCGCATCTTTTAGTGGACCATCTCATAGTTCCCAGCGTCCATTTTCTGGTCACAACTATGAATTCCTTGTGATAAGACATCTGAGTGGTTTCGAAAAAAAACGCAGAGTTCTAGGATCATTTTCCAGCATTGACCACTTTTACGGATGTTCAGGATCTTTCGAAGGACCATCCCGTAGTCTCCAGAGTCCATTTTTCAAACACAACTCCGATTTCATTCTGATACGATGTTTATGAGTGGTTTCGAAAAAACCGCGGAGTTCTAGGATCGGTTTCATGAATTAACCACTTTTCGGATGTTCCGGATCTTTTTGTGAACCATCCCGTGATCCCCAGCATCAATTTTTTGGTCACAACTCCTAATCAGTATTGATCAGGCGTCTACACACCAAATTTCTTAAATTCTATTCGGTACTTTTTTTTGCTAAATTTGTTCTGTAAAATATATTTTGTACCGAAAGGTTTGCAAAATGTATCGTTTTACAAACTTTCAGTAATAAATAATACTGAATTTACGTACTTTCCGAAAATTACCGAAAACTGTAAATAAAAATTACTGATCTTATACTGTAAAAAAAAAGTGGCGTACTAGTCTTTTACAAAAACAAATGGTAGTAAAGTACCAGATTCTTGTAAATATTACGGAACAGATTTGTAAATGTCATACTGTCAAAAACATCCTTTGTCGCTATTTCGAAGTGGAGTGTTGTTTGGAAAAGTAAGTGTTTTGCTATAGTCTACTGAATATATGGAGGGGAGAGTTGTTTTACTTTAAATTCGATCCTAGGGCATCGCTTCCAGTCATCTTGGACTTAAGGTGACCTGATGCTTCCTTCAACTGCATGTTGCCGTCGATAACCTGGTTTGGATTCCCTGCTGGACCTGGACCTGAAGAATCCTTTTCTTGGCGTCGCAAATTTTGCTGTGTTGTTCAAAATACCAGGGAAAATACAATAAAATATATGTTAATGGAACAAACAGTTTGTTAATTATTGCTGATTAAATTGCAATTTATATAACCACAATGGAAAATAATTTACAGATATTTCGGTTAAAACATTACTGAACGCTATTGTAAACTTTACCAATCATTCAGTATTATTCACAGTCCAGGTCAGTAACTTTTGACAGCTCAAGAGGTAAGACGAATTTACCGAATTGTAATTGTAAATTCAAAAAATTACCGAATCGATTACCGAATGTTCAGCTGTTCCATATTCGGTAAAACATTACAGTATACTGTAAAAAAAAATCTTAGTGTGTATGAGTGGTTTCGAAAAAACCATGGAGGTCTAGGATCAATTTCAATTATGTACCAGTTTTGCGGATGTTCTGGATCTTTTAGTGGACCATCCTGTAGTCCTCAACGTCCATTTTCTGGTCACAACTCTGATTTCATTGTGATAAGACGTCTATGAGTTGTTTCGAAAAAAAAAACTGTGGAGCTCTAGAATCTGTTTCATGAATTGAACCACTTTTACGGATGTTCCGGATATTCCGGAAGACCATCGCATAGTCCCCAGAGTCCATACTCCGGTCAAAACACTGAATTCAATCTGATAAGACGCCTATGAGTGGTTTCGACAAAACCGCGGAATTATAGGATCGGTTTCATGAATTGACCACTTTTACGGATGACCCGGATCTTTTCGTGAACCATCCCGTAGTCCCCAGCGTCCATTTTCTGGACAAAACTCAAAACTCAATCCTTGCTAGAAGCCAGCATTTCACATGACTTTTATTTTTGATTCGATTTACGTGCAAAATAATAATTGATTGCATCGCAATATTTTGCACATTTCTTGGTGCCATTAATTAACCAATTAATCAATATAGTTTGAATATTGTTTTTGATTCCAAAAACTAGTTGAATTTGAGAAGCACATAAAACATAAAGGGAATATCTGTTCGATTGCAATACTCTTAAATTTAATGTAATAAGAATAAGAAATCCTCGGAAAGAATCTAATGGAAATGTTCGATTGGCTCAGATTTTGGCAGTACATTTGGCTCAAAACATTCTCTCCCTCTGAGTGTTTCTAGGTTGTACTAGGGGGCTGGTATAAACTACGTAGACAGTTTAGGGGGGGTGTTGACAATTATTCACGGCCCATACAAATTTAAAAACATTTGTATGGACAATTGTCTACGCAGGGGGAGGGGGGGGGGTCAAGAATACCAAAAAACTGTCTACGTAGTTTATGTCAGTTTACGAAATAAAGAAATCTAAATCTCGATTACTTTTCTAAGGGACGTATCTGCTTTTGTAAACAATGCGATTTGGCGGAGCTGGTAGCTCGCCCATGCATGCTAACACTACTATCAGACCGAGCATCAGACAGGGGAAAATTTCCCTACCTGATAGTGGTGTACTATGCGTGGGCGAGCTTCCAGTTACTCCATATCGACGATCAAATGCATTGTTTACAAAAGCTGATACGTCCCTTTGGAAAAGTAATTGATAAATGACGTTTCAATGTAAACAAATTTAAAAGTCATATTTGATAGAAATATTCAAGTTTTTATTCAAACCCGTTCGAAAAATGGAGGTAAAGTGAGGGTTGTGCTTAGTATGACGGAAATTAGATCTTAATCATATACTGCCGCTCCGCAAACTGTCTCATGTTATAGGCAACATAACATGGGACAGTTTTGCGTTTACCAATAGTATAACAATCAACATAATGAAAACTGACAAATATTTACCGTTTTTGATTTCCAAATTTCACGTTACTAATCAAGAAGTGCAGTTTTCGTTCAACATCCGGTGTGAGTCGGCAGCGCAAGAAACGTCTACTCGTTTTCGTCTGCATTAGTTGCATAACTCCACTGAAAGTGGAGCATAATTGTTTCGGGTTATGAAGAATGTCCTTCCACAGTGTTTCGAATTCAGGTATACGCGAAACATTCTGCAATAACCGTACGAATTCTCGTCCCAAAGGTATTACGTCAGCAAATCTATCTCTAATCAATGAAATAACAAAGGCAACCTCCTTATTGTGAAGGCTATTGAATTGTGGTCCATAGTGATCTTCTAGTAAT